TATAATATACATATAATATATATTCCAATATACATAGTGTATATATATATACATATCTTAGTATACACCAATTGTTTCCCAAGTATTTGTAATTTTAAACCAGTGCTCATTCAGAGCTCTCCAAAATCCAAACATAAATACGTTTGTTTTCTTTCTTACAAGAACTAAATAAAGGTTGATAAAAGTGAGAGGTGGATGGAGAAAACGGACACTGGGTTGTCCCACACACCAACTATTTCATCCAACGCTCACCTTCACGGACACATCAAGCCCAAACACCAGGAAGCAGAGCAGCTCCAGGCTCTCGGTCATGCCACAGGGTGGATTCCAAGCGGGAAGGCGGTACCGCACGTCCGATGTGACAGTGAGAGAAGAAGGCTCTTCAACAAAGGCCAAAGCCAGGATTATAGTGATGGTTAAACTCAAAATCCTGTTTGGAGAGAGATGAAATTTTAAAAAAACCCAACAAACAAACAATAATGCAACAAACAAACCCCCCCAAAAAACCACAAAATGAGTCAAACGAATAACAAAATACTTAAGAGTAAAGCACTTTCCTTAGAAGTAAACTAAGCTTTATAATACCATATTTAACACAAATGGGTTAGACTAGAAGGCAGCACTTGACTAGCATGTTGTTGCCTGTGTTAGTGATGCAACTGCTGACCACCAAACAACCTCAGGTGGTGTTCTTTTGGGACTAACAGCTGCAAAAAAATCTTGCTGTTATTTAGAATGTTTAGAAATAGACACTTTGAAAACTCTTAACACACAGTGCTGCAAATCATGTTCACAGTCCATTCATGCAGCAGTCATACAGTCAAAGAGCCACCTACGTGATCACACTTTCATATAACTGGCTGCTCTGCACTTCTGCCATGTTCACATCCCCTTGCTTCCTACAGTAAGTTCTTGTAAGGATAAATGCACAGTCATCTAATTATTTAACAAAAAAGAAAGATGGAAGAGTAATTTTTCAGAAAGACTTACTCTTAAACGAGAAAGCAAAAGGAATAACCAAGTTCTTACCACTGGCAAGTCCTTGAATAGTACCATCGATAAAGCCACAGGGATTTGGAGTCCACACGGTGATTTATGGATCGATACTGAAGGCAGGAAGCAAAAAGGATAATTCAAACATTACATTCAGTCTGTCTCAAAGACAAAGATCAAGCTACCAAAGCAAACCAAATTAAGTACACGTTATTCATTATTAAAGTATCAGTCACCCATGACCATAGATGTAAGTCTACATGTGTGAAAAGGGAAAGATTTTAAAGAAATTCTCCTATCTAAAGACCATAGAGCTGCTCAGGTAATCAAACTGTGTGGCAGCCACCTGAAGAAAGCACTGCCATCATTACAAATAACAGCACCTGTAACAAACCAGTGATTACTCTATGTACTTGCCAAAATTATCCACCCACTTAATTCACCTTTCTAGCATTCATTCCACTCATGGACATTCTTTTGTCTTTCTTTTCCAACAAGCTGCAAGATGCAAACAAATTAATCCCAAATATAAGAGACCTCACCTGTGTCTTTGAATAAAATATGCTTTAAGGTCAAGGAAGTCCCCATGATTCTTCAGAACAGGCCTGCTTCTGCCAAAATCTGCTCAGTCCCTTCTCTGCAATGGTTCCTGGGCCGCTGTTACCCTGAGAAGTATCTAATTCTAGAAAGGTGGGCACAGCTTAAATACATCTGATCCCCAGAAATCTCCCAACCAAAAGCTGTCTGAATGCAGCAAGAGAGCTCAAAAACTGCCCTCCAGCATTCCCACTGCCTGCAACGACTCACTGGGACATAATAGATCTAAGAACCTGCAATAAAGGCCAGTAAAGGAGGGACAAAGAGGGAATGAAGACTTCCAACAGTATCAAGTTCAGCCTTAAACTCTACAGCTTTTACCAGCTCTTAAACCGTGCAAGTAGTCAGATTGAGAGGCAAATGACACGGGGTTCGCTCAATTTCTCTTGGAAGTAGGTTAGTCACTCTCAAAAAAACCCACAAACAAACCAACCCAAACAAACAAACAAGAAAACCACCATGAAAGCCACTCCACAAACCAGCATCTCTTTTGAAAACCTTAAAGAGGAGATTATTTCATTGCGTGGAAAAATGTTTCTCCTGGGCAGAAGTTTACAGATACTCGCGTACCACAGGAACTTGGAATTCTGATTTTGCTTTGTGAATCAAGATGACATGACATAAAGGCTTCCTGAACACAGAAAAACTTTAAAAGTGGTAGAATGTGCAACAAACATCCAGCATGGGAAGCATAATAGCTATCAAAGAAGTTACATTTACCTGTATTGCATCTTCAATAAATACTACAGCTTGGTTTATGTAAAGGTCACTATCAGCTCCAGCACCTATGAAGGTAAAAAGAAACAAGAATCACTTGCTGTGTTTTGGATAAAGCCTACAGCTTCCTTATTAGTTACTAGAAGCTCCACAACAATGGCTTAAGTAAGTAGATTACATTAGTAGTTAAATTGCTACCATAAGACTACACAGAGACGAGTCCCAACATGCAACATAGTGGCTATTCAATCAAATTATTGTTTGACAAAGTGCACAGTCAAGTGAAGCTGGAAAAATCAGGCACCAGTATCCCAGTCATTTTACTTTTGTTGAATAAAGGTTCTGTAGTTTAGATTGGTTTTGTTCTCTCCAAAACCACCAGGAATCTCCAGTCAGATGAGAACTAAATTAAATGCATTTTTAATTTGTCCCAAGAGTGATTATTACCACACCAAATAGATCAGAGTTCAAGACAGAGTAAGGGGTGAAAGTACACAAAATGAAATAAAACATCACTAAATTAGTTACTTATGCCACTTACTTATACTTTTCAAAACCTGTTACTAAGAAGTCTATATGAAGATATTTATATAAAAAAATAAAAGGCAGCCACTTGTGTTCACATGAACCAGGGACCTTTGAGGAACTAACCTGGCAATTAAGCCAATGGGAGAAACAAAGGCAATTACAGTCAAAATGAGGAAGGAAAAAAATTAAAATAAAAGGCTGAGAGGGGCTAAATTTACGAAAAATATGTGCTAGCGTAACCTTCCCACAGAGGGAAAGAGTCCCAAGGAGCACTTCATAGCATCTCCTCCGAGGAGACAGCAATCACAACACGGGATACAACAGGAAAGAGCCCGTCCCACTACTACCACGATGCTCTCCAGACACCAAGCAAAGCCACTAATCTGAGTCCCAGACAATTTTATGTTCCACGTGATTCAACGGCATCAATTTTCTACAAAGACTGCAAGCAATTTTAAAATGTCACCCTTTATCTGAGCATCAGCAACGGCACAGTTTTGTACTGATCCTGATATGAACCACGGCGCAAGAAAGACTGAGCACAAACAGGAGACAAGCCAGGCTCACGCAGTAGAAGACTTTATCTTTTTCATGCCATCTCACACTAGAGATAAAGTTGTTTAAAGGAACAGTATTAGTTAGAAGGATGGCAAGGGCAGCAAAAGCTTTAGGTTCTTGGCACACGCAGCAAGCCTAGTGTTGATGGCAGAGATTTTGGAAGGGTGGAATCTAAACAACTGTTCATAGTATAAAAATAAAACAGGGAAATTAGCAAAAAACGTTTACTGTAGCAATTTCTCCATGCATTCTGCCATGGATATCCAACTTACTCTGCAGCTCTTAGTCACGGCAAGTGACACTTAGTCACAAATGATGATTAAAGCCCTTGCTCGGTTCGGGCACACAGGACCCGTCCGAGACCCCGCTGCGCTTCTGGCACCGCGCAAACACGCCACAAAAAAAAGAAGCGAAGGTTCGCTTAGGTGATGCGATACCCTAAAAACAAGGAACCTGCGGTCTCCGAATGATTCTATCCCGGGGAGGGAAGGGGTGGGGGGGAATCGAGGCGCCAGACCGCCGACAGTCATTGGCTTCGAGAGAGAACTTGCCAGCGCTTCAGAAAAAAAAAAAAAAGTATAAAAGCTAGCGCTTCAGAAAAAAAAAGAATAAAATTACATAAGGAACCCCCGAAGCCCAGGGCTGCAGCGGGGCTGAGCTCCGCGACAGCGGCTCGCTCAGCGCCGGGAGCAGCCGGGGCAGGGCGGCGGAGCCCGGGGGTCTAATGCCGTGCCATAATGCTGTGCCCTAATCCCGCGCCCGCTCCGCTCCCGGGAGCGCTCCAGCCCCGCGGGGAAGCGCCGCCCGCCCCAGCGCCCCGGGCGCTCACTCACCGCGCTCGGCCGAGCGCCACAGCCCGCGGGCCGCCCGCCAGCGCCGCGGGGGCAGCAGCGGCTCCGCCTCGGCCCCGGGATCCATCGGCACCCCCGGCAGAACCCCCGGCCGCGCTCCCACCGCGCCGCCGGCACCGCACGGGACGGGCAGGGGATGGGACGGGAGAGCAGGGAAGCGGGGGCGGGACGGAGCGGGGCTCAGCCCGCCCCGGGCGGCTCCGCCCGCTGCATGTGACCGGTTGCGGGGGAGGGTGGGGACCGGCATCTTCCCGGCTCCTCCCGCTGCCCCCGACCATTCATAGAATGAGAGAATCAGGCGGGTTAGAAAGGACCTCCGAGATCATAGAGTCCAACCCTTGATCCAACACCGCTGTGGTTCCTAGACCGTGGCACTAAGTGCCACATCCAGTCTCATCTTAAAAACCTCCAGGGCCGGAGAATCCACCACTTCCCTGGGCAGCCCGTTCCAATGCCTGATGACCCTCTCTGTGAAGAATTTCTTTCTAATGTCTAACTAAGCCTCCCCTCGGAGAGCTTAAGACCGTGCCCTTTTGTCTTACTGATCGCTGCCTGGGAGAAAAGACCGACGCCTACCTGGCTACAACCTCCTGTCAGGAGTTGTAGAGATGAGGTCTCCCCTGAGCCTCCTCTTCTGCAGGCTAAACAACTCCACCTCCCTCAGCCTCTCCTCACAGTTGTGTTCCAGTCCCTTCACCTTGTTGCTCTTCTCTGCACCTGCTCCAGCCCCTCAATGTCCTTCCTGAACTGAGGGGCCCAGAGCTGGATGCAGCACTCAAGGTGTGGCCTCACCAGCTCTGAGTTCAGGGGAAGAATCACTTCCCTGGACCTGTTGGCCACACTGTTCCTGATACAGGCTAGGATGCCATTGGCCTTCTTGGCCACCTGGGCACACTGCTGGCTCATGTTCAGCTTCCTGTAGTACCCGGGGTGCCATTTCCCACCCCTGCCACTCCTCCTTCCTTCCCAGGCGTAGTTCCCGATTCTCTCAACCTCCTGCCCACCAGTGGCGCAGGGAGACAGGATGGGGGTTATGGTCAGTCCGCCACAGGCTAGTTGTGCCACTGCTCGGGGAGAGGAGAGTCCTTCACCTGCTCCAGCCTGGGATTTCTCCCATGAGAATCAGTCCTCCGCCAGCTTTTCCAACACGAGTCCTTCCCACGGGCTGCTGTTCTTCAGGAACTGCTCCAGCACAGGGTGGAGAGAACTGGCTGCCCCAGCGTGGGTACAAGTCTTACCAGGAAACCTGCTTGCTCCATGGGTCCATAGGTCCTGCCAGGATCCTGCTCCAGCTGTGACCCACAAGGTCACAGTCTCTGCTGGGCATCCACCTGCTCCAGGGTGGGGCTCCTCCAGGGGCTGCAGGAGGATCTCTGCTCCCCCCTGGACCCCCATGGGCTGCAGGGGCACAGCTGCCTCACCACAGGCTGCAAGGGAATCTCAGCTCTGGTGCCTGGAGCACCACCTGCCCCTCCTTCTCCACTGACCATGGTGCCTGCAGAGCTGTTCCTATCACATATTCCCACTCCTCTTGTCTCAGGCCACAGTTACATCTGTGCAGTGTTTTTTCCTTCTTAAACATGTTATCAGAGGCATTACCACCATTGCTTGCCTTGGCCAGCGGTGGGTCCGTCCTGGAGCCACCTGACATTGACTCCATCGGACACAGTGGAAGCTTCTGACAGCTTCACAAAGAAGCCACTGCTGGAGCCCCCCACCCCCAACTCCCAAAACATGGTCACAAAACCCAGTACAAGATGTCACTTGTAAAAAGTGACCCCAGCTACATGGGGTTATTTCCCATTCTCAGTAGGCAATGAAGCACTGATAAAATTGGAGCTATTTTGGTAACAGTTGAACTAGAGGCATCAGGCAGAACACACACAGTGAAAATTTCTGGATAGTAAAAGGAAAATGGGGTGGCCTGGTACAATCTGTATTCAGCATGAGCAGGGAAGAAATAAAATGCAATTTGTACATGTGTAAATGCCATTGCTAAAACACACAAGTGTTCTTTCACCAAGTGTCTGAAATATTCAGGGTAACCACACTAACCAGGAGTGCATGTAAAACATTGTATTATCCTTGCTATTATTTTTTATTTGAATGAAAGCAAGTGTTTCCTCCTTTCCTCTTCATTGATTGTGAGGAAAGACAAACCAGTAGCTTCAAGAGGGAAAAAAGAAATATGAAGCCTTCAAATATGCAATGAATTCTTGAGCTTCTGTTCAAAATTCATCCACTCCCTCTGTCTGCAATGGGAAGTGGAAGTGCCCAACTAACTGTGAGAGAAGGCACATCTCACCTGGGGTTTTCCATCAGACAAACAAACATTCTTCACACCAGCAGCATCCACTAAGGTAAGTCAGTTATGTATTTAAATTAATACAATACAATAAACCCACAACAAACAAGGCAGCATCTTTAACTCCAAGTGAATCAACTCTGTCTGGATCATGAAAAACAAATGTGGAGACCGTGCTCTTTAGCAGACATTTCTCACTAGCACAATGCAGGACCATTTTAACAGAAGTCTCACTTGGTCTAAGCTCTTCTGCTGTTTGAGTGTTGTTTGCCCAGAACTTCAGAAACGCGCTTCTAGTTTGCCCTCTTAGAATTGCACCTTTCAAAACAAGTTTTAAAAAAGAAACAGAAACAGCTAAACATTAAATGAAAAGGCAGAAAAGGGACTCAGGCACTGGACACATTTAAAAGATCAGTGAAGTTAAAATTTAAGCTTTGGCAAACAGGAGGTGGAAGATGGGTAACACTCTAATTGAGCTCAAAGGAAGCTGGTTTTATACTCCATTCTGCAATACTGAAACAAAACAAGAAGCTGAACTCTTAATTTTGATCCCACTAACAAGGAGATTATCCATCTGCTTCAAGGTAGACATGCTTCCAATACCTTGCTGAATTAGACTTTATGTGGTCATTCAAAACACTGGACCAGTCTACAAAGCAAATGTTAGATAAATAAAAAACATGAAAAATAAGAGCTGAGTCAATTAGCATGACAAAATTACAAGTTTATTGCAAAGTAAGATGAGTTTTTGCCCTCAACAGCACATGCCAGAACTGTTAAAATTTTACTTTCAGCTAAATGTTACTCAAAAATCATATCCAAGTTATGAGAACCAAACTTCATGTGTGTATGTGCATTTACTTTCACAAAAGACTACCCTGCATTTATTTATTTATGATGGGCTTATCCAAATATTTTAAACTAAGTATTTGAAGGAAATCCTTAATAAATGATTCCTTAGCCAATCTATAGTTTAAGTATATTGGGAATAAACCAGGGAGTCAATTAAAAAAAAAAAAAAGACGACTCAACAATTGTTTGGGTCATCGCCCATTATCACAGTATAATCCAGTTTGGAACATTCTGCTTGGCAAATTAATTACCACAGTTAAACAAGACATGAAATCAGTCCACGTCTTCACCTGGAGAAATTCCTTCCTTTTTTTCTAGTTTGGATACCTGCAAGTAAAAAAGGGAAACCAATTCAACAGTAAAAATGAGCTTGCATTTAATGTCTCCTGTCTTTTCAGACTTCCATCACAAAACAGTGTGGAGCCCAGATTTACCAGGAACCAACAGTGGGATACACTCTAGGGCACAGCTGAGCTGAACAGGGTGTTAGTTGCAGTTAAAAGGTCAAACTTTCTTCCCACCTACCCCTCCCTTTGGCTGCCTGCTCCCATCACTTCCTAGTTTCTTGTCACTTTGGTGACTTCATTTGGCTGCCCAGGGAGTGAGACAGGCACCAAAGCCATCTCAGAAACTGGGAGAAAACAGGGAGGCAGGCAAGACTGCCCCTTTCATTGACAGCTGTCAGAGCAGATCAGGTTGTAAACCTGGAATCCTGCCCCTAACAGAGAGCCCAGAATAATTAACATGACCACAGGAAATGCTTTTTATACTCACATACACAGTTCTATAAAACTGACCTTCACTGTTCTTAAAGCTTAAGGAATTACCTTTATTAAGCTAAGCTGTTGTGAAGGCTAACAATGCAAATAGTTTCAGAAAGGATTCTACAAACTCAGGGAGAACAGACCAAGAGCACAAACTAAACACAGTGTTCTGCATGTTATCTCTAACTCTGGAAAATTCTATTCCACATTCCCCAAATCTATGAGGATATAGAGGAAGAGTCATATAATAAATTCCCTGTTCTTATGTTCTTCCATCAGTATCTGCCACTGGTTGTGAAAGACACACAAATATCAGGTTTATATAAGGTTGATAAAACTTTTGGTCATTGTGGAATGACCAGTAAACACTGGAAAAAGCAGAAGGCAGCCTGCAGATACCTGATCATTGGGGGTGGATGTGCAACCTGTCTTCTGTTCCTCCAAATTATGCCAGCTATTGAAATCCCAATGAACATTCTGGCATCTAGGAGTCATAAAAAGCACGTGCTCTAACCACAAATCCTTTATTTCAGACACAACTCCAAGGCAGAAGCTACAGACACTGCTACTGGTGCTCTAAACCACTAGAAAGTTCACCCCCTGGGTGGAACCCTCAGTTAGGTAGAGCTGAATGACATTAAGACTCCAAGGGCATATCTGGCAATTCCCAGCAAACACTCTGATCTAAACTTCCTCTTATCCATGTTCCTTCTGCAGCAAATCAAAGGGAATTTTGCACTTAAAAAGAGCGGATAACTCAACTGGTTTGACTACACTACGAACATCCAAAGCAGAAAAACTCTTTCCACAAATCCAAAGGATTTCTCCATCATTAGCACTCCAAGCTGTTTCCATTCACAAATGAGCTCGACCTGTAACATGACTCTTCTACAGGAAAACCTGGCATTACCTAAATAAAGGTGGGGTTTAGGTCAAGTTTATGACTTATTTTCACAGGCCTGCTGTTACTACACCAGAAAAACCTTAAGTGGAGATTAAGTCCCAGGAGCAGAATTCCCAGTGAGACATTGTCCTAGAGAGTGACTGTCTTGAGAAATACATTTGTGTTGAACACACACAATAAGAGGAAACTACATTCCCTTTTTTGAACAGGGCAAGTTATTATTTCCCAGTCTTGCAAAAAGCTACGTGAGTTATCAGCTCAGGTTACTGC